CAACATACATAGCAACAGTAACGGAAAGAGGGGAGGGATAGACAACTCTAATGATTCGGAAACGGTATTATTTTGAAGGGAATTCAATCTATGGCATTTATTCATACCATCTAATTCAATTTGAATTTCTTCTCCTTGAGTTTTCCATAAATCAGTACCATTTTTCATTTAACTTCACTATCCTAGCACATATTTGCTCATTCTCTTTATCCCCAATTTCATTTTTCTTATTCTCAATGTCAACTTTCTCATTAAGCCTAACAATTTTTTCATCTAGATCAGAACCTTTATCACTGATAGATTGATTTTTTCTAAGGTAAACCTTGCTAAATTCTCCTAATCTTTTTTCACTATGGCCTCCTTCATTAACTCTAGCAACATGAGGTTCTAAAATGATTTTTTTAGATTTGCATTACCTATGGATAGGTTCTTGTTATGGTTAGTTCTTAAAGCTTCCTCTAACTTTTTTTCTTTGTTTCCTAGGATCAAAAATTAACCTTCCATGAGAAATCTTAGGGGGTTCAAGAGGAATCATATCCGGTGGAGTAGGAGGTGGAAGCATCACCTTCTTCTTCCCTTTCTCTTTGTCGCATAGCTTGGAGGAGAAGGAGCCTTCAATGGTTCTTGATTCTTGCTTCACGATCAACACAAAAACTCTACCTTCTAACCCTAAACGTGCCGAAAAAGAGAGAGATGTGAGAGATTTTAGGATTCTTGAAGATTTGATGAAAAATTTGAAAACCAAATGATAAGTTTTGGGGAGAAATCGCAAATGAGCGTGTAGACAACTTAGGGCTTTTTTATAATGTTTTAAAACATTTTAAAAACATATTAGGCTTTAGTAATGAAGTCTCTTATGTTTTAAAATAGCTCAAAGCCCATTCAAACGTAACCCAAATCAAGCCCACAAAATTGTTAAGCCAATTTCGAAATTCGTTTTTTTCCCTTAAATTGCGCCTAGCGCAATTTTGAGGACGGTTGGATCTTGATTCTGCAAAATTCAAATGTAAAAACAAAAATTAGATTTGAAATCTTCACAAAAAAGCCTTAAATAAAATGTAAAAAGTTCGCAAAAAGAAGATAAAAAAATTATTTTACATAAAAGCGCCCTCAACACCGACAGAGGGACTGTTCTTACTGTTTTTTCATGGATCTTTCAGTAGTACGAAGGTTTTGCCTCTGTCAATAAGCTCACCAAAGTATTTCTTTACTCAATGTCCATTTACCTTAAAAATATTACCTTTCGAATCGCTTAAATCCAGAGCTCCATGTGGATAAACACGTTCAACTACAAACGGGCCCGACCATCTAGACTTAAGTTTACCTGGAAACAACCTTAATCTAGAATTGAACATCAAAATCGAGTCTCCAAGTTCCAAATTCTTATCCATTACTTTCTTATCGTGCCACTTTTTGGTTTGTTCTTTATACATCTTAGCATTCTCAGAAGCAAACTCATGAAACTCATCCARCTGATCATGTAAATGTAGCAACCTTGCTTCACTTGCAGCAGAATAGTCAAAATTTAGTTTCCGCGTAGCCCAAAATGCTCTATGCTCTAATTTTAGCAGAAGATGACATGCTTTACCAAAAACAATGTGATAAGGGGACATGCCTAACGGAGTTTTATAAGTAGTTCTATAAGCCCATAAAGCATCATCAAGTTTAATAGCCCAGTCCTTCCTATTCATATTCACTGACTTCTCCTAAAATTTATTTTATTGCCCTATTGGATATCTCTACTAATCCATTAGTTTGACGGTGATAGGCAATAGTAATCTTATGATGGATGTTATACTTTTTTAACAAATTACTCACTGCTCTATTTAAAAAGTGTGTCCCCTCGTCACTAATCAAGCATCTAGGTGTACCATATCTGGTGAAAATAAACTTTTGCAAGAAGAGAGAAACTACCTTGGCATCGTTAGTGGAGGTGGCCGAAGCCTCAACCCATTTCGAAACATAGTCAACAGCTAAGAGAATGTAATAATTCTTACAGAATGAAGGCGGAAATGGACTCATGAAGTCGATGCCCCAAACATCAAACAACTCAACTTCCAATATTGGGTTTAAGGACATCTCATGTTTTCGTGTCAAATTACCTTATCTTTGACACCGGTCACAGCTTTGAGTGAATATGTGAGCATCTCAAAATAGGGACGTCCAAAAGAAACAACTTTGGAGGATCTTCGCTGCAGTTTTACGTGCAGCGAAATGTTCATCATATCGTGATTTATGGCACGCCTCCATAATCTCCTTCTGTTCATGCTCAGCAACACACCTGTGAAAAATATTGTCAGGTCCCAATTTGAACAAGAAAGGTTCATCCCATTTATAAAACCTAACATCATGAAAAAACTTTTTAATCTGGTACTTACTCAAGTGATTAGGAATTATGTTGCTAACCAGATAGTTCACATAATTAGCATACCAAAGGACTTCAGAAATAGCTAACAGAAGCTCATCAACAAAATGTTCTTTAATTTCAGATTTGTCATGTTGCAAAGAATACTCTAGCCTAGACAAGTGATTAACTACTTGGTTTTCTATTTCTTTTCTATCTCTTATCTATAAATCAAACTCTTGTAGCAATAATATCCATCTAATTAACCTAGACTTGGCTTCTTTTTTAGCAAACAAGTTTTTTAATGCAAAGTGATCCGTAAAAATTATCACTTTAGTCCCAATCAAATGTGAACGAAATTTGTCAAATGCAAAAACAACAGCGAAAAGCTCTTTCTCAGTCACAATGTAGTTTAATTTACTACTATTCAAAGTCTTACTTGCATAACAAATAGGATGAACTTTACCTTTTTGCTGACCTAACATAATACCTACTGCAAAATCACTAGCATCACACATTAGTTCAAATGGTAAGTTTCAATCTAGTCCAATTATGATAGGGGCTGAACTAAGTGCATCTTTTAGTATCTCAAAAGCATTCCAACAGTTTCATCAAAATCAAAGGGTTGATATACTTCTAACAACTGACACAAAGGTTTAGAAATTTTCGCAAGATCTTTTATAAAACAACGATATAAACCCGCGTGTCCTAAGAAACTTCTAACACCTTTTACAATAGTAGGAGGGGGTAATTTGGCAATCAGATCTATTTTAGCCCTATCGACCTCAATTCCTTTTACTAAAATTTTGTCACCTAAGACTATTCCTTCACATACCATAAAATGACACTTCTCCCAATTAAGCACAAGGTCAGTCTCTTCACACCTTTTTAAAACATTCTCTAAACAAACTTCAAACGACTCACAAAACATAGAAAAATCATCCATAAATATTTCTATCGTGCTTTCTATCATGTCAGAAAAAATAGCGGTCATGCATCTCTGGAAGGTGGTCGGAGCGTTACAAAGACCTAACGACATCCTCTGGAATTCAAATGTCCTATAGGGGCACGTGAACGTGGTCTTTTCTTCATCCTCTAGAGCCATTGTAATCTGGTTGTACCAGAATACCCGTCTAGACAGCAATAGCACCTTTCCCTACAAGACGATCAAGCATTTGGTCAATAAAGGGAAGCGAAAAATGGTCTTTTCTAGTTACCTTTTTTAGGTGATGGTAGTTTATACACACTCTCCAACCAATCACCATCCTTGTCAGGATCAACTCGTTGCCATCGTTAGTAATCACCATCATACCACCCTTCTTGGGAACGCATTGGACCGGGCTAACCCAACTGCTATCTGAAATGGGGTAGATCACCCCAGCATCTAATCATTTTATTATCTCCTTCTTTGCCACCTCTTTCATTTTGGGGTTAAGCCTACTTTGGCTCTAAATGGAATTGGTGGCTCCTTCTTCTAGGATGATTTTGTGCATGCAAAAAGTTAAGCTAATTCTTCTTATGTCTGCTATGGTCCATCCAATACCCCTCTTGTACTTAGATAAAACCTGCAAAAGTAAAGATTCATGCTCATTAGTCAAATACGTCTATATGATAACCGGCAAAGTATCATTTAAACCCAAATATGCATATTTTAAATGAGAGGGTAGGGGTTTCTTCTCAAATTCTGGAGGTTCAATGATGGAAAGCTCCAAGGCTTTGAAATCAGCTATGGCTGGCTGCAGAAACTCAAAATGCTCAATTTGTGTCAAAATTGCGCCAAGCACAATTTTCGCTTTTTCTTCTATAGCCTCCAAATCTGCTTCTAAGTCTTCAACAATCATCTCCTAGAGTTCCTCCATGGTTGCCCTTATTCCAAAGCACTCCTCGACTTCATCCGAGAAGCGCATCATATCAAGCATGTTGAAGGTGACTTGCTCATCATTGACCTTCATAGTGATTTATCCTTTCCGAACGTTGAATATCGTATCTCCAGTTGCTAAAAACAGCCTCCCAATAGTGATCGGCACCTCGAGATCTGCTTCACAATCCAAAATTATAAAATCGGTAGGAAAAATAAATTTATCAACTTTTACAAGAACATCCTCTATTTTTCCTTCCAGTTTCTTTATAGACCTATCCGCTAATTGCAAAGTGACAGTAGTGGGACGACCTTCTCCTATATCTAACTCTTTAAAGACAGAAAGTGGCATAAGATTAATACGTGTGCCTAAGTCACACAATTCTCTCCCTAGATTCTTACCACTTATTGAGTAAGGGATAGTAAAACTACCTGGGTCCTTACACTTAACAGGCAATGGATTCCCTAAAGCATCACTACTACACTTTGTTAGAGCTACCGTCTCATGTTCTCCTAATTTCTTACGCCTAAAAATGATATCTTTTAAAAACTTGGTATAATTAGGCATTTGGGTAATGTACCTTCTGGTCTAGATTTTAGGACATTCGCTAACTGCCCCATTTGCATTTCCAAGTTCCTCATCGCAGTGTCATTCCTTCTCATGTATTCTTTCATCATGGCCTCCAAACTTGCATTGTTACCACTTTGCTGAGTGTTATTTTGCATGGGAAAACCAAGAGGAGTGTAGTTTTGTTTGAATTGTTGAGCGGGTGTTTGCACACTGCTACTTGCTCCTCCTTAGTTACTCAAAGAGAAGTTTGGATGGTCCCTCCATCCAGGGTTGTAGGTGTTTGAATATGGATTGAAGTTCCGCTGGACACCTTGACCTACATAGAAAATAAACGCTGGATTAGCATGACAATTCTCATACAAGTGGTTGTCAACACAATAAACACAAGATATATCTGAAATTTGTAAAATAGAAGAGGGTTCAAGAATTATCACTGAAGTAGCAGGTTTATTCGCCTTCTTCATTGTCAATTGTTTCAACATCTGGCTCATGGCTGATATTTGAGCCTGCAATGAGGTTACTGTGTCTAGTTCAAAAATTCCTGCTGATGCTTGCTTTTTTGGCAATGACCTTCCTAATTCAATTTGATCATTGATGTCTATCATCTTGTTTAAAATATCAATGATCTCATTAACTGACTTCTCTAACAAAGAACAATTGGCTGCAGTGCTGAACATCATTCTCATTGGATGATCCAATCCTCTATAAAATTGATCGATCTGCACACATGTGGGCAATCCGTGGCTCTGGCATCTTTTGAGTAACTCCTTGAAACGCTCCCAAGCTTCTTGAACTGCTTCACTTTCCCTTTGTCTAAAAGACACAATGTCTTCTTGAAGGTCTGCGTTCCTTGTCAAAGTATGGTACTTTGCCAAGAATTTGTCCGTCAATTCTGCCCACGTGGTGATAAAATTTTGTTCTAGCACGTTTAKCCAAGTCCATGCACCGTCCCTCAGAGAAAAGGGAAACATTTTTAGTCTTAGTGCATCTTCAGAGACACCAGGTAGTTGAAATGCATTAGCTATTTTAATAAAAGATTTGAGATGGGAATACGGATCTTCATTAGTAAATCCTCCAAACTGGTTCATCGTCCACAACATCTAGAACATGACTAGCTTAAGCTCTAACTGCGCGGCTTGGAGTAAAGGATTACTTATCCCTGAATTTAAGTTGCGAAATGCATGAGTGACATAGTTCTGCATGGCTACGTCTCGGTTATCAGCTAACAGGATCGGATTATGAACTTCTCCTGCTCGCTTTGCTGCTCCTTCATCTGTCATATCTTTGTTCACAGGTGGATCTTGTAGAGATGCTGGATCTTATGGATTTCGATTCATCTTGATGGTCTCTTCTTCAACTTCTACTTCTTCAACTTCTTTCTCTTTTTTATTTTCTATTTCTTTTATCAACCTCTGCGCACGCCTTATCCTTTTAAGAGTTCTTTCAATCTCTGGATCAAAGTTCAACCAACCAGACCCTGTGCTCATACACAACTCCCTTAAAGGTTAGATATAACAACTAAGTCCAATGATAGAGGTATGCAACAATAACACATGAAACTATTCACTTTAAGGAAAAAAATATATGATTTAAAAAATTAAGTCCTCGGCAACGGTGTCAAAAACTTATTGGGACTTTCTCTACTTTAAAAAGATTAGAAACGTGTACAAGCGCACACGGTCACAAGTAATACTTGAGAGTAATCCAAGGTCGAATCCTTAGGGACTGTTGCTTTCAAAACAGTTTATAAGAAGTAAATGATCCAAATATGCAATTGTGGTTATGGAGAAAGTGGTGATAAAAAGTGTTGTTTGGGATTTGAAATGTCAAGCAATTTTATAAAACTCAACCTCTTTGCTTCCTACCTTAGTTTTGATACAAAATATGGATGGTACACACTGTTTGGAAAATGCGCCAGGCACACTGTTGTTGCAGAAGCTTGGGTAACCTACAATCATATTTCAATGTGTGCTTACAATCGTAGAGAATACTTATCAACTCATTTGCATTATGGGTCAGAGGGCCTATGTCTAGGACCATGTTTTATGCGCTTATGTCTAAGTTACATCGCATTTTGGTTTCCTATTATTTTACCTAACCCACCCTTCTCATAGTTGGGCTTTAGTGTATAAATCAGAATCCCACTGGCCAAATGGAAAAAATACGTAAAAAGATGTTTTTAGAAACCAACCCAAAAAAGTGTCAGGCGCAATCTGGGCAAAATCCCGAGCGTGTTGAAAATCAAATCATTTTGACTCGGGCATTCCACAAAGAGGTCAACAACCTTTGAGAATCTTAAAAACACTCATAACATACATAGGAATAACCTGGCTCACACTTTTAATCAGGATTTCTTTCTCCGCCACTGAGAAAAAATGTCTCTTCCATCCTTGCATCGCTCTCGAAACTTTAGCTTTAAGAAACCTCCAATCTTCCAACCGCCTCCTCGTGAATGCTGCTGGCAAACTTAGATGTGATCCTATGTTATCTTGCACTCTAACTCCTAGAAGAGACTGAAGATAACATTTCTGATCAACCCCAATATTAGGTGAGAAACATACCATAGATTTTTCAAAACTTACTAATTGGCCAGAAACACGTTTATAACTATGTAGAATCCTCTTGAGAGCACAACATTCGATAGTGTCCGCCCAAGGAAATGTATATTCAAATGTATATTTCTCTCATAACCTATAACTTTAATGTGAATCTCATTCACATTAATTTTAACCTATAGTTTTAATGAATCCAATTCATATTAATCATTAATTGAATCTTATTCAAATATAACTCTTATATAATATAGTTTAATTATGAATGTCATTTATAATTAACTTTATATTATAATGTATTCTATAAACATTATATTAATTGGGTCTTATACAATTAACTTACATTCCCTTAAATAAGTAGAATCCCTCAAATTCTTTCACATGTCGTGATCCTTGTTTCACCCATTTGTGAGCTAGCGGGGGGACCTAATGGACCTACTGATTACAAGCTCCAGCGATATGGATTAAATAATTAAACTCATTAACCAAAATAACCAACATTCGTTAACTTTGGATCACTCCACTAAAGACTCACAGTTGCACTCTTCGCACTGTAGAATATTTTGCGTCCATGGATATTGACCATCAACAGTAAGTCAATCCTTCACGAGTGTTCGTAACTTTAGTTGGGTCAAAATTACCGTTTTACCCTGAGTTACATCTTTTCTCCTTAAGTACCACTGATCATCTAATGAACAACTTGTTTAATGGTTGGTTGTTTATCGTCTAACCATTAAATAGAAGTCCCTCTTAGGCCGGTGAGAGAGTGGGGCTCCTTGTTCATATGTCGAAGTCATCACTTAAAAGAACATTCATCTACTTACCTAAAGTTGGGAACGAGTGAATTCCATCTTGTGTGGTTATGTTCCCAACTCCCCACTTGATCTCGTCCCTAAAATGGTAGGAATATTGAGTCGGCGACTCAGGCTACTCTCACCAATATAAATCAAAGGACGATCCCTTATAGGTAGGAGTCCATAACTCTGGTCTTCCTATGAAATAATAATCTATTAGTTAACCGGTGTTATAGCTAAATATTAATTATTTCGCGGTCCGGTCTTATACAAACTCGTTGTATAGGATACCCCTACTAGCATGTCTCCACATGAACTATTTGGATTAATTCGTTTGTAACTCTTACAAAGTAGGTCGTATCCATAGTATTACCAAGATAAGGTACCTAACCTTACCCATATACTATAGACCCTTTAGGTTATTACTGAAACATTATCCACTTGTATATTGAATATATACCTTGTATATCAATTACATGTTGTATATTAAATATATACCCTGTATATAAATTATATATTATATATTAGTTATATACTATTCCATTTACATGACATAACCTCGGATGTTAGTTTATTGGATTTTGGTCAATGCAATTCTAATCGGAACTTCAACAACAGCTTTATTGAATAAATATTCGTTTTACATTTACAAACTACGAGTTTAGGGTATAAAATCCAACAGTAGGGACTCAGAGGTGGACCCATGACCATAAACTGCTGCAGGGAGCTGAGAGCTCCAGCCGCAGATGCTGGCAACGTTCTTTTGGAGCAAACTGGGACTTCAGGACCTCCCTCTGGGTCCTAAAGTACTTGGAGGCCTCTGAGAGCTTAACCTCCCCTTGCCTGTTCAGAAATTTTGGCCGTCGAGACATCTTTGTCGACAGTGGAGACACCAAATCAGCTGCATCAAAATAAGAGAGGAGGAGGGGAACGGACAAACTCTACCTATTTCAATGGCAGGAAGGTCAAGACCATAATCCTTCAGATTTTGAGAAGTTAGAGTAGGAACACGTGCCCGCCAATCTTGACAATGTGCGATGCTCTAGCAAGAATAGATTGGGTCTCTAGGTTAATCAAGAGAGTCACAACCAGTTGGATTGTAAGAAATAGAGAGAGTTATGAGCCATGTGAGAGCGCARCAAAGACTATGGAGGCTAGACCACTTACCTAGACGACCAAAGGTCGTTTAGACCTCACAAATAGGGCCCTCATCGGCATTCAGGGCCAGCTAATCGCCCGAGATAAATAACCATTTATCCCCTCTGTCCTATACGGAAGTAGGCCTATTCACTGCAGTCTTAAAACCCTAAACCTTCTCGGGGCCATTAACCAAAGTGTTAATGTCAGGGTAGGTAGGTAAATAAAAGAAACCCTCGAATTTTGACATCATCTTCATTGGTGGGTATTGAGTGTCTGCTCAACGGTGAGGGTGTCGAACTCCTTACCGCGACTATATCGCCACCAGAGGTACCAGAAGCCTAGTCGGATATCCCATCCATTTGGCCCTAGTTGATAAGAGCAAGATTGCATTCACTCAAGAATTGTTGATTGAAAGGCTGGGGGGCAGTCTAACTCCAATATCGAACATCTTAGCGTAAAATCCCACATGTCATAGTGGGAGATTGTCAATAACCTCGCCCTCATGAGGCAAGCGCATCTCTACATTTTTCGTGACATCATACCTGAACTTGAGTTGGGTAAGGTACAACTCCGAACACTTAGACTCTTCGTTCAATTGACCCTTCACAAAAGTTGAAGTCATCTTGCCCGACGAATCGCCAATACGAGAAGCGACGTCAATGACCTTAGTCCTAGCCATTCTACGGGTAGGAGACTTGAGAAGTTCAAGAAGACGATTAAGAGAAGTGCAACTGACCTATAGAGCAGAAAGCGGTGACAATAAAGACCAGGGCAGAGATCCTCTTTGAGAGAATTGATTATGTGTAGAAACGGAAGAGGGAAAGCCCATATTTAAACAAAAGTAAGGGGATGGGTCAAAGTTGTCCAAATTAAGGTGCAATGACCAGCCCAAATCAAGACTTCGAGAGCCCACACACGTGGAACAACAACAATCATTGGATGCATAGCATGATCGACGACCTGATATGCCAGGAGAGTAACCATCGCCCCCTCCGACTTCCCCACTAACACGTGAGCTATCCACCCATGACCTTCAAAACACACTACTTTCCCTAGTGCGCATTGTCCCAAGGCTCCACATGTCCAGCAGCAATAGTCTTTGTGAAGCTGGGAAATAAATCACCAAAGTGGGGCTGGTTTTATGAGGGGAACATTGGGCAGAAACGTGTTGAACACCCAAGAGGCATGCCGATCTGGTGACATCAGCTCGACCAAACAGGCACGAGCCGGGTCGGCCCCACCCTGTAATAATCTTCATTAATGCATGTCGAAGGCATAATTGACTAAGCATAGTCAGACACCCACCGCTAGATTAGCCCTCGTTGAAATTAGGGGAGAGAATATCGACCTTCCTTACCAAATCGATTCAACATCGAGCACCTATAAGAAAGCTAGGTAATTCGTGGCCCAGATATGTTTGAATCCCTTCTTAATATTCAAATTATCTTTTACTGTGATTCCTAACTTTTGCATCGGAGTGTTCACCTCTGTTTTGCAAGTCACACGATTTGCATAAGGGATAAGCCACTTAGCTTGGATAGACAAATTAGTTCGSGAACACTTACGTTGATTTAACCTCTCTGTTTTGTATGGCGATAGAGGAGCTGAGCTAGAACGAGCTAGAAGTTTTCTATCATCGCGTTATTGACCATGTGGAATAAATGAAATAATCTAGTCTTCAATAAATAGTAGAGTTCAATTGATGAGCCCATTGAACGTGTGATTAATTATGCTAAAGAATGGAAAGCTAACCACAGCAAAATTATGCCTCCAGCACAACAATTTGTTGTACATCGAAGTATTGTAGGTGGGTGTCTCCAAATTACAATGTTATAAGCTGAACTCATATGCGACACTACTTGATGGAAGGGGCAAGTTCGTGGATAATCATCTGTGGTGCAGATGAAGAAGTTTTCATAGTTAGAGAAGGAGCTTTGCATCTTAGAGGGTCCGTTGAACTTGTAGAAGCAACGACTCTAAATGAGATGATAACATTAGCACTTGAGGTTAGAACCCGACATCTTTAGGCTAAAATTGATTCCAAAGTGGTGTAGAATCTAATCAATAGAAAAGATAGACTTGATAATAATACTCAATTAATACTTGATGAAATAAGAAGAAAATACAGGAATATTGAGGTAGTACAAATCACCCTTACAATACGTAAGAAGAATGAAGTTGCCAATACTTTAACGATTCATATCAACATTCAAAGAGTACCCAATGTGGTAGAACTCTTCGTGAACTATCGGGGTGTTTGGTTCACTATTTTGCCATGATTTATTAAGTCTGAATTTGTTAAATCTGAATTTGTTAAACCTGGGTTTGTTAAGTAGGTGTTTGATTGGTGTAGGAAATTAGTTTATTAAATCTATATTTGTTAAGTCTGTGTTTAGTTGGTGTAAAGTCTGGGTTTGTTAAGTCCGTGTTTTGTATTTTGTTAAACTTGCTTTATTAAACTTGTATTCGGTTAGTTGAGTTTTAATTTTATTTTAAAAAAATATAATTTATAAACTAATTATTTAACCAAAGTCATTTTTCTTATGAAATTAGGAAATATTGTTTTAAGGATATATAAAATATTTTTAATACATTTGTCCATCCATTTTTTTTTCTAATGATTAACTTTTAAAATAAATATTCAATTATCTATAATAAATACTTCAAGTATTTACCAATGTCTAAACAAGAGTATACAATTTCATTCAACATAAATTTTACTACAGAGAAACTGTTATCAATAATTTATTTAATTTTTCACTATTTACTATCTTAAGTAAATTTGATTACTTAATTATTCTAAAATAATTGATTACTTAATTATCATCAACATTACTATTAAACTTCACTTATTTTTATTTGACAATTACATTTTATTACAAAGTGAAAACCTTTTAAATAATACTTGTTAAAAAACTATTAACCTCATACGTTAAAAATAAGATATAAAATTAAATAAAATAATTATTCAAAATTATAACTGTCTTTTAAAAGTGTGATAGTGATAACAAAAGTAATTAAAATAGTAGAAAGAAAATGACAACTATATAAAATGAAAAAAAACAACGAGATATAAATACTAATAACAAAAAAAAAATTAGATTTTTCTTGGATCATTTGGAAAAAAAATTAGATAAAAAATCATTGAATTAATTATTTATTACATGTAATTTTAATTAAATTGATTTACTTATTTATAATTAAAATTATAATTAATTGATTTCTTTATTTATTTAATATTTTTAATTAAAAAAATTATATATTTTAGAAGAGATAATAAAAAAAAAATATACAGTGTAGCAACTTATGGACTAAAGATAAAATATTGTAGCAACCTCGAATAGTATTTACTAAATTAGAGTTGATTTCAAAAAAAAAAAAAAAGTTGATTTATTTTTATTTTTACTGTTTTTTCGTTAGCTTCTTTGTACTTAAAGAAAAGAAAAATAGTAACTCAAAAGAAATATATAATAAAAATAGGTGTAAAAAGTAGTTGGTTTTAGTTGAGTGGCTTTCTTCTCCTCCTCGTCGTCCATTTTGTGTTTGTAGGGAAAACGAAGATCAGAGAGTCGTAAGAGAAGGCGGCGATTTCAAAGCTTCCTCTCTTCGTTTCCTCCGCCCCCTTTCTTTTATATCTTCTCTTTCTCCCATTTTCCCATCCCATTTTCCATTTTCCACAATGTCCTCCGCCACCGCCAAAATCCTTCACCCGCTCCCTCTCAGATCCAATGACAAACCCCTCTTCTTCGATCCCTTCAGATCCTCCTCCAGATTTCTCGGATCTACGCTCTCCTTTCGCTTCCCCTCTCTCTCCTCCGCCACTCCCCGCTCTCGATCCTCCGCCGTCGTCGCCGTCTCCGACGTCGTGAAGCACAAGAAGCCCAAACCCACTTCCAATCTGGTAGACCCAATTCTTCATTGGGACTTTGATTCTAATTCTTTTTAATTGTAGATTGTTGGGTTTCATTGATTGATTTGGGGAAATGAGTAATTTAGCAAGAAATATGAAATCCATCTTGTTAATTTTGTTTCCCCTGTTCTTATCGTCTTTCGGGAATTTAGATGGTTTTTGGTTGTCATTATGAAATCCGAGATTGTTGTTCTACCATCACACTGGAATTTAGCTTGTCTGGATGATTGAACTCAAACAAAATTATGCTCTACTGGAAACTTTCTGCATGCATCCCTTCGCTTCATTAACCGTATTGGTCTGAAAGTAGTTCTTCCCTTTTTTTTTGTTTACTTTTTTTGGTTCCCTTTATTGTCTATACAGCTGATCACAAAAGAAGAGGGATTGGTACTCTACGAGGACATGATTTTAGGCAGAGTTTTCGAGGATATGTGCGCACAGATGTATTACAGAGGCAAAATGTTTGGTTTTGTGCACCTTTACAATGGGCAAGAAGCTGTTTCCACTGGGTTCATCAAGCTTCTCACAAAGAATGATACTGTTGTGAGCACTTATCGTGATCACGTTCATGCTCTCAGCAAGGGAGTTCCAGCCCGTGAGGTCATGAGTGAGCTCTTTGGAAAGACCACGGGGTGCTGCCGTGGCCAAGGCGGCTCGATGCATATGTTCTCGAAAGAACATAATCTGATCGGTGGCTTCGCCTTCATAGGCGAAGGCATACCAGTGGCCACTGGTGCAGCATTCACGTCTAAGTACAAAAGAGAGGTTCTGAAAGAGGCAGACTGTGAAGATGTCACAGTAGCGTTTTTCGGAGATGGGACTTGCAACAATGGCCAGTTCTTTGAGTGTTTAAACATGGCTGCACTATGGAAACTGCCCATTATATTTGTTGTGGAGAACAATCTTTGGGCTATTGGAATGTCGCATTTGAGGGCGACTTCAGATCCTGAGATTTGGAAGAAGGGTCCTGCATTTGGAATGCCCGGCGTTCATGTTGATGGTATGGATGTTTTGAAGGTGAGGGAGGTCGCGAAGGAGGCAGTCGGAAGAGCCCAGAGAGGAGAAGGACCGACTCTCGTGGAATGTGAAACCTATAGGTTTAGAGGACACTCCCTGGCTGATCCAGATGAACTTCGTGACCCTGGTTTGTGCTCTTAAATTCACATACAATTTGGTTGTCATTTCTAAACATGCTTTTGCTTGCCTTTGCTGCTATTTATTATTATGGTTAGTCTAAGTTTCTCCTTCACTCATTTCTCATGATGGTATTATATTTATATGATAATTAAAAATTCACTCATTAATCAACTTGACATTTTTTCTCATTTGTTCACCACTTATCCCTTTTTTTCTCGAACAAAGAGGGAAATAAATGTTTTGATGATTGGTTTAGATTTTAAGCGAACCAAACATCACAGACATGGAAGGTAATTGCTTGTTTTCTTTTCTTTTCTTTGTAAAAAGGAATAAACATTCAAGCTTTGATGGACATAACTGAGACTTCATTTTGTGACTTAAAACATGATTGCTGACACAGAAAAGCACTTGGAACCCTGAAAATTGTAGCAAATTGGCATGATTATATATGATCTTAGATTTCTGAAATCCATTGTGTATCTCCGGTGTCTTTCGAGTATAACATAGACTCGTAGACTCCATTAGATGACCGAACTTGATGTACCTGGTCATGTTCTTTTACTATACTTGACTTAATTACAGACATCAATGTAGTAGAGTTTTTTATCCAAATTTCACAACTCCTGCAAAGTTCTATGATACAAATATCACATCTCTTAATCATTCCCAAATTAACCATGGCAGCGGAGAAAGCACGTTATGCAGCTCGAGACCCGATTGCAGCTTTGAAGAAGTACTTGCTGGAGAACAATCTAGCCAGTGAGCAGGAGCTGAAGGGCATAGAGAAGAAGATAGATGAGGAGGTTGAAGAAGCAGTTGATTTTGCAGATGAAAGCCCCCTCCCAGGTAGAAGCCAGTTATTAGAGAATGTTTTTGCAGATCCAAAGGGTTTTGGAATTGGGCCAGATGGAAGGTACAGATGTGAGGATCCCAAGTTCACAGAAGGCACTGCACATGTTTAATCTTCTCAACTTTGTTGTCTTATCATATCATCCATCAAATGTCTTACTCTATTCACTTTTAGTTTCTTTTTTTCTTCACTATGTTTCTGTTGGGTTATTACTGATTATTTGTAATTGAATGTATTAGTGTTTCCCAATTTTGATTTAGTGTATGCTTTACCAAACTTTCCTCCACTAATCTAGTTATGTGTCAGAAGGTAGCATTGATATAGCATAAATATATAATGCTTTACCTATTTTGTTTTAATATTTATGATTGTCAAATCTTCAATGCTATTTTGGTTCTCTTGAATATTCTGGTTTGTCAACAAACTTTTTGTAATTACTTATTTTAGCCTTCCCTATTAACTATTTCACATAAATCCGAAAATGTTTTGAATAATGTGCCTTCAAATAGATGTTCGTATAGACATTTAATTATCAATTAAATGCTTATTATCAAATAAAGAAATAAAAAGATGTACCCCGGTTAGTTGGGTAGCAAATAAGTTTTTTAGAGCATATTCAAAAGTTTAACCACCACCGACTAGAGCATAACTTACGGGTACTTATTTTCGATCAAAAGATCGAAATCAAGCTTATGAGGACTACGACTAATTATAGGTTATAAGAAAAAAATTTAAAAATAAAGAGGTAAAAAGAATCACTCTAGGGCGCAAGAGGAATGAAACTGGCAATAACTTCAGAATACCAACCTACCCAATTCAGTTTTTGTCAATTAACTTCTCTGTACTTAAAATAATCGAGTCTATGAAAAGGACTAAAATGCTTTCCATTATTTATTTACACAATAGATTTGGAGCAAGAACTACTTCATAGTTTTCTACGAAACAAACAATAAGTTGCAATCGGTTGCTGCTTTTAGTATTTAAAATTAAAATAACCAAAAGTTGAAGAAATCAAGAAAAAGGCAATTTGAAGAGAGAAAAAGAAAAACTAAAGAATATCATATAAGGTAATATTATGAGTATAAAAAGAGGTTTACAGTTTAAGAGCAGCAATAGCATCAGGTTTAAAGTCAACTCTGAGAGCCAACACACGCCTAACCTCTGCTGGGGTTAGTCTCCATGTCATTGGTCCTGAGTTCTCTCCCCAGAAATCTAAAATCTCTGAAACCTTTTCCAAGTTCAGAATCGTTGCCATTTGTGTGAGACGAGCAAACTTATCTCTAACAGTTCTCTGCGTCATGCTTGAAAAGTGGCTCACCAATGCCCTTGCATCTCTGTCGAGTTGAAGCCCTCCCAGCTGACTGAACCTTTTCTGCACCATAATCACTTCCAGCCTCTTAACGAGGAAGTCGATCACCAAATGTACAAACGAGTCGTAGTTGTTGGCTGTCATGAGAGGCTGAAGCCATCCCACATTTGTCTCGACAGCATGGAGAAGTCTTTGGACCCAGGGGTCATTCACCTCGTTATCGGCGTACTCGGCCTCCGACAGTTCATAGCTAATTGTCGCGACAGTATCTAAGAGTGGACGAATCCGAGGGGTTACAGTTCCAACCAGTTGTTCCAGGCCAGCATTTAAGGCTTGCTTGAAAGTGTTGCTCATGTCACCCAATTCGGATAAACAAGATTTCACTTTTTCTCTGTCTCCAGGCGCAGGAAATACCTGCAAAAAATGGTTTTGCTCATGTTATATATACTGGAAACATCACTACAAAGTCATCAGTACAAATTCAGGCACGGGAAAGGAAAGTTTGCATGGAAGAAAAGAGAGCAAAGTATTCGTAAAAGTCGGAACTGATGTAATTATTTCACAGGGATAAACCAGATGCAAGAGAATAGTAATCAGCTAAGATGTCAACTCTTTTTTTTTTATTTATTTAACAAGAAACAACTTTTCATTCATATATGAAAAGGAGAAAAAGTTCAAGAATACAAACTCCCAGAAGAGTGAGAGAACAAAAGAAAAGACAAAAACAGAGAATAGGCTCAACAGGGAGCATTAAGAACAATAAAAGTCAATGATAATATCGAGCTAACTACAAAACTGTCATTTCCTTCATTGCCAAACAATAATATCGAGCCAAGATGTCAACTCACAACTGTCATTTCCTTCGTTGCCAAACAAATTCAGACCTGAGCTATGTAGAAGTTGCAATTTTAGATTTTAGATGTTTATGTGGCTAATAATAGCTCTAATCTATGCATTGCATAACATTACCCAATTACAAGGGTCTAAAACAAGCAAAGAGGCTAAAGTTAACGAGGAACAAACTCAGGCACTACGGTTTCATTTCCATTTGGGGAAAATGATAAGAACATGGTAGGCCCCTCCTAATATGATCGTGTATCGTGGGAAGAGGGTTAAGTGGGAGCCAAAAAGAATGAGTTAGTGGGGTAGACTATTATCACGTGGGGCACTAGTTAACAAATAGTAACTGATGTACACAATGAGAATAGAAGGTGTGAAGGAGGCCAAACGATGTCGTGTTGAGTTGTGGATGAAGGTTCAAATTTATTTTCTTCATATGTCGATCGAGAGAGAAGGCATTTTCTGGCCACTCCAACTGACCTACATGTTGGTTTTGTGAGATGTAAAATCCAGTTTGGGCAGTTTTTTAGATTCACTTGTTTGCCCCTGCTATCTAGCCTATCTTGCCTGTTACTATGTACCCCTCTCCCTCCCTAATAAAAAAAATAACTTTCCTCGGTAAGCTTAGCTGCCTTTATAGTTTATCCTGGCATATATAAACCAAATTAGGATCTTGCATTCCTATTAATGTATCTCTCCATTTCCTATGAATAGAAGTAAATGGTATCAAATATTCAAGAAAACTTCAAAATATATATATATCAAAATATCCAAGAACTGTGCCAAGGCTAGAAAAATTATAAAATTAACTCCAACTTGGAATGAAAATACACATTAGCATACATATAAAGTAAGACGAGTATAATTTCCAAGTAAATTTGATTATGATGATTTTCAAATACTACAAAGGCATAATATATTGTAGTAAAATAGAATGCAACAAAAGGAAGAAGCAAGAAATAGGTTACTCTTAATTGAAAAAATTAAACGTAGAAATCTGACCCTAGATGATCCTGAGACTGAACAAAAATTATCATCAAGCATTTTCTAGTGCACTTGATTCCTTCCAACCCAAACAAAACATACTGTAAATTTACAAAGTTTTAGAAACTATCCAAAGAGTTTTGATAGTCTTGACATTGAGAAGTTTTATAACAAATTGATTAGACCTCAATCCACAATTCCAGAATCAAATATGTCTATCATTTCAATTTCGTGTCCACCTAACTCATGCTTTGCAGGTTATTTTGTACAAATGAGAGTCATCCGACATCAATACCAATAATAAGCATAAAGGCAGGGGGAGCAGATGTTTAATTAACAGGCTGCAAATTTTAAAGGAAAAGAAATGGCCCCTCATCGATGTCATAAAGGAACACTTACATCCTTGTTAAATTTCATGACAGCCCTAGAATCTTACTGCTGTTATGAAGCCTACATTTTCTATCAATTATATAATCCAAATAAGCCACTTTTTAGGAGTCTATGTAGCTGCTCGAGGTAAAACTCTCCCTTTCCAAGTTTTTAATTTCAAGACCATCCACAATTTTAGGCTTAGAGACAATAACCAGATTCATGAAGTGCCACACCTGGTAGCTGAAATGCCTCTGAACAAGAAGAGAGGATGTATTCTATTAAAATGGTGAAACTAAGATGTACATCAGATGGGGAACACTGCAGCTTGAGAAACTTTAATAGTTATAAGTAATCAGACGTATGAAAATGAACAATGCAACTTCAAAAGCAATCACCAAGGATATGAAGCCACACAACATGTTACAAAGTCTCCAAAATCGGTTGGCAATCTAAATCTACCTTCGAAACAATAAACAAAAAGTCACAAGACATGTAAATGACAACTCATAAGTGAAAGATTTTATGTAATAGAGAACAATAATTGTAATTATCTTTGAAGTAAATGTTGAGGTGAAGTATGGTGCTCACCTCCGCACATTGCTCCTCAATCTCATGTTTGAGTTTTAAAACATACTCACTACTCACGTCCATGTTATTCAAAGCTGTTGCAATCTCTGTCCCCGTCTTTTGTACACCAACACCACCTAAGAATAGTTTTGCGCCTAAATTTGGTTCTCGCATTTTCTGTTGTAATGCTTCTTGGTACTCATTGCTCAATAGACTACTAGCACCACTGAGAACTGCAATCAAGGAGCTGATATTCGAAGTGGATATCGCACGTCTTAAGCAACTCTGTAGGACGTAGAACACATCGTCCACCATAGAAGTCGTAAGACTATCAGGCACCTGCTCGTCGATCTTGATAGCTTTCCTCACATTTTCAACCATGAAAAATCCCTCCAGAATCACATAAAATCCTGTAATATCTTGAACTGCTTTGCTAAAACTTCCACTTCTGAAAGCCTTTGTAGCTCGGGGAACTAACTCTGGGTCTACAGAACTCAATCCCTTGATTTTGGAGACCATGAATTCAGTGTAATCCTCACCTAACTGCATCAACGTCAACAATTCTTCCAAGTATAACTCGACTTCCCTTGGATCAGGTCCTTCCGGCCCTCCAACGGCAAGCAAATTCTTGTTTTGAGCATTAATTTCAGAGGATAACTGAGCCAATTTCCTATATTCCACATACTTCTTCAAGATCAAAGATCCACGCGAATCACACTCCTCTTGAAGTTCACAGATTGCGTATACAATCCCATCCTCACCACAGAGGCTCCTTAAGATCTCATCATTTTCTTCTATAGCCAAAACAATATCCTTGAACAAATTAGTCAAGCACCCAACAAAGTTAACATGGTTTTGGTTACTACCCACATTATGATTTTGGTACTGCTGCTCCATCAGCTCCACCAAATTCTCAAATTCAAGCCTAGACCTCATTCCAATGACCTTCTTCAAATACCCCACATAAACCTGCAATCCTTCCTCCTCCAAACCTAACGGAGAGTAAAGCCGTATGAAGCGCAAGATCATTGGATGATCCCGCTGATCCACGGCCGTGGAGAGCCTCTTCCTGACAATTCCCTCCAACTGTCTCTTGGAATCCAATAGCAGCTCCCTCTGATCCGACCCGGAATCCTTGTACTTAGCATCAATCTGCAGAAAGGTCTGCACATACTTGGCGGCAGATTCGTAATCCTCGGAGTCGAGAGCCTTCTTGACGCCCTCAATACAATTCCCCCTTTCGACAATGGCGTCGATGCGAAGCAGGGTGGAATTGACCCGCGACTGGG